TGTGCCAAGTGCCAGGCACTGCTGGGGTCTCTCCCTGTGCCAAGTGCCAGGCACTGCTGGGGTCTCTCCCTGTGCCAAGTGCCAGGCACTGCTGGGGTCTCTCCCTGTGCCAAGTGCCAGGCACTGATGGGGTCTCTCCCTGTGCCAAGTGCCAGGCACTGATGGGGTCTCTCCCTGTGCAGGCCACGCTGGTGAAGTACACCACGGACGAGTTCGACCAGCGCATCCTCTACGAGTATTTAGCAGAAGCCAGTGTTGTCTTCCCGAAGGTCTTTCCTGTTGTGTGAGTACCTCTCACGTGTGGGTTATGAACTGCAGGCTGGCCATGGCTGGTTTGTTTTGATTTTCCCCCCAGGTGTGTTTCAAAGCTGATTTAAAGCCTTTTGTAGGTACTCTGGGTGTTATTTCTTTAGATATCTGTTGTAGTTTTGCTGGAGCAAATACGTGTAAAGGAAGCCCAACTGTCAGAAATTAAGGTGAGCAGATGAGCACCATTTAAAGGAATGCTGCCTTGTTCTGGCTTTATAAAGTGGTGGTCAAAGGCCACCCAAGTTCTGTGAGTTACTGAAACCACGATTGTCAGTAACTGGCATTTGCCTTAAAACCCCCAGCGTGGCAGAGACCTGCAGGCAGCTCAGTGGGACAGAGCTCCACGGGTTTAAAAAGCTGCTTTGGGACTGTGGCTGACAGGAACACAAATCCAGTGAAGACTTTTTGCTTTAAAAGAATTAAAATATTTGCAATTTAAAGTGCTAGGGGAAGGCTTTGATGGTTTATATGGTTATATTGAAAGTGCTGCCCTTCGTTAAGAGTCCTCATGGAACACTGGGAATTGTGTTCTGGAATCACTGAGGTGTAAAAATCCCACCTGAACTGCTGGTTACTGTAGTCAGTTTGGAACTGCAGATTTATTTTATTTAATGACCAGAAAATAAGCCACTTCTCTTTTCTTCAGGCATAATTTATTGGACTCCAAGATCAATACCCTTTTATCGCTGTGCCAGGATCCAAACTTGTTGAATCCAATCCATGGGATTGTGCAGAGTGTTGTCTACCACGAGGAATCTCCACCCCAGTACCAAACATCTTATCTACAGAGTAAATATTTTCCCCTTGTTTTCAAAACTGCTGTATTTTGAGTTAGATTTACTACTGAAAATGTTTCCAAATTGCAGCCCTCCTGGACTAGTCAGGCAGGCTGGTGTGGCACCTCTCCAGCTTCAGGTATCCGAGGAAAAATAAGAGTTTGCAGATTAAAAATAGTCCTGACATGAAATATTAGAACTGCTGCAGTTGTGCACCAAATATTAAAAATATTTCACTATCTATATGAGTAAAAGATGTTGAACCTCAGGAATGTGTTTCCTCCAAGCAACTTAAAGAAACACAGAATGTGAATGGTGGTGATAGATGATGAACTTTGTTATCTTCATTACTTAGGGATCGATTTAAGTACTGGTAAATTCCTTAGTGTAATGTTTGGTTTTCAGTGCCCGAGCTCACTTGAACTGTGACACTTAAAACCTAAACATGTTTTTATGGTCCTTAGTCAAAAACTTTCCAGGAAGATCTAAGAAGCAGGTGACAGTTGAGAAAAACTTCAATGCTGACAGAATTTTGGAACTGAGATGTGGAATCACGTGGCCAATTCACCTTTGAAAATGAGGGAGCACCCTCTGGTCATTCTGTGCCAGTGAGAGCTGGGCTTTGAGGGTCATGTTCCATTTGTTGTTGCAGGTTTTGGATTCAATGGGCTGTGGAGGTTTGCTGGCCCCTTCTCCAAGGTAAGAGCTCTGTGTGCTCAGGAGTGTTTGGCCTTTCTGGGGCACATTGGTGCTGCAGGAAAGATGCACATAAACAAGGCACAGGATTGCTCTAAGCAAGCAGAAAGCTGTCAGGCTCACTAGTTGGGCTAAAACCAGTTGTGAGCCTGCAGCAGGGGCTTTGATAGACTCAGATAAACTACCAGAATTGGGGAAAAGCAGTCAGGTGTGTAAGGGCACCTTTTCCTGCTCCCAGGGTCACTTTATTACATGTATCTTACAGTGTAAAGGGTTAATTTGGTAAGAAAGATGATTCCTTAAGGTTAAGTTCCGTGTCAGAGCAGAGCCAGTGGAGCAGTGCCCGTGTGCCCACCCATGCCAGGGGGAAGGGGCTGAGCAGGGCAGTGGCCCAGGGGCAGAGCTGCCAGGGCAGTGCCAGGTGGCTCTGCAGCTCAGTCCCTGGGGGAACAGCCCCCCTTCCTGCCCCTGGGCTCCCACACTGAAGTTACACCTACAAGTGGTCTTTAATGTGCACATTTAGATTGATCTGAAAAAGACCACAAATGAGTTTTTACAGATGCATCAAATGCTGTTTAAAATTTCCAGGCAAAGCAGTGGGATTGCAGCGTGAGCTCTGGAGCAGAGCTCAGACTGACAGGAAAGTACAAAGAAAAGAACAATCTTTTCTTTTTCCCCACCCATCTCCCACAGCAAAACCAAATCCCAGACTATGCTGAGCTCATAGTGAAGTTCCTGGATGCCTTGATTGACACGTACTTGCCTGGAATTGATGAGGAAGCCAGTGAGGAGTCCCTGCTGACCCCCACGTCTCCGTACCCCCCGGCCGTGCAGAGCCAGCTCAGCATCACTGCCAACCTCAACCTCTCCAACTCCATGACCTCACTGGCCACTTCCCAGCACTCCCCAGGTCAGTGGCTGCTCTGGGACCACCTGGGTGAGGGAAGTGGGGGAATTCCAGGTTTGGGAGCCAAACACTCTGTTGGCTCTTTGGATGTGTTTGTGCACCAAACATCGGTGCCTTCCAGAGTGAAATGAATATTAAACTGTTCTGAGCTGTTACCCCAGCTCACATGCTGGCTTCTATCCAGCACAAAAGCTGTCTCCCAGGTCACTCCACATGAAGGGAAGAGCATTAAGGGCATCAGAACAGACAGCAGCTCCATCTTCATGTGGAACATGTGCAGCAGTGAGGGCTTGAAAAGGAATAAATATAAACATGTAATCATGTAATTTGCAAGGAGAAAATGCTGATCTGGGCACTGCAAGGTAGCACATGTTGGGAAAACTAATCCCTAAGTGTGCCATGCAGAGTGTGCTGGGCTGACAAAGCTCCAGCTGACTGTGTGATCCAAGGCCAGTGCCCACACAGCAGCAAAGGAGTTGGACTCTGCCTCCAAGGAAGAAAAGAGTTCATGTGGATACACGAGAAAGGGTCAGCTCAGAGTGGTGGATTGCCAGAAATATGCTGATGGTAAAGTGAAGGCGTGTGGGAAAAGAACAGTCATCCAAGGCAGTAAATGGATAAAATCACTCAGCTCCTGTTAAGGGGAAAGGGGAATTGTAAGGAAATGCAGAGGTGAAATTTAACAGCAAAGGTTTACAGGGTGAAAATAAATGAAAAGTAAAAATCACTCAGTATAGCAGCATAAGGCAGAAGAAATTAAATATAGGAAGAAGATGGAATTTATGTCAAAGAAATCTGCATGAAGACTTCTTGAAGTGATTTTGGAGGGGTGGTTCTTTCTTATACTGAGGAAATCTTTTCTTTGTCATAAAAATTACACTGTGAGATATTTCTTAAGGGATGATTTAGCTGTTGCAGTTCTAAATAGATGCTTCAACCAACTTTTTATTTCTACTTCATTTCTAAGCCCAATGGGAGCCCAGAAAGCCCTTGGATTGAGGTGTTTTGGGTTTTTTCACTTTCTTGCTCCCTGGTTTCTGCTCCCTGCACTGAGCCCTGCTGGGCTGGGCTTGGCTCTGTGCAGGAATCTGCCCTTCCAGGGGCTCCCCTGGCTCTGGACACTGGGATGGTTTGTGTTCAGGGTGCAGAGGTGCAGCAGGGGTAAGACAGGGCTCTGTTTGAATGATTTGGGAATGGGGATTTCTTTGGGAACAGACCTTGCTGTCAGTGTGGAATAAGGACATTCTGGGCAGCATCTTTCTGTTTAGGACATTGGTGGCAGCTCCAGCAGCTCGTTTCCAAGGGTCAGGTGATGGTGCAGGATTGGGCTCTCTGTGAGGGAAAGAAGCATTTTGCTGTGTAAATGTCCTCCTTCCTTCTGCCCCACTTTCTGTTCCCTATTCCTTTGCAAGCTGAGAGGAAGGAATTAATCCAGCCTGTCAAATGTTCCTTCCAAGTGCTGTGCAAAGACATGGCTTTTGTCAAAGGCTGGTTAAGAGTCTCCACAAATAGAGTTGGGAACTAGGGAACTCGTTCAGGTTAGTGGTGAGTCTGAAATGACACACTGATGACACACACAGGGCACTGTTTGCTTGGAAATGAGATGTAAAACACCAGTGAAAGCAGCACCGAGCTCCCTCACCACGCTGAGGCAAAGAAACACTTTCAGCCAAGTGAGCTTTTGGTTATGGTTACAAATATATTAAGTTGCAAATACATGAAAAATTCATTTCTTGCATCTGAAAACAACCAGGCAAGATCATTGTTTATGAATGTTTTGTCTGTCACCATCTCTACTCCTTTCCCTCCCCTTCCCCGTCTCATGGACATTATTCACTTACGTTTATTTCTTTCATTCTGTGTCTGTGAAGCTTCTCTGCCTTGCTCTAAGTCTGCAGTTTTCATGCAGCTGCCTCATCCAGGTACTCTCTTCTTTCATCATATTTGCACGAAATGCTGCTTGAGCTGTGTTAGGGTGGGGCTGTGGCATGAGGAGCAGTTACTGACACGGGAATGGCTTCAGCGAGCGCTGCACTGGGGCCTTTCCTGGGGATGCCAGAATATCTGAGGGTAGAGCAGAGAGAGAGCCAGACACAGCCTTGAGAACAAATCTGGCAACAGAGAGGGGGATGCTTGGTGTGGAAATCACTGTGCTGCACGTGTGAAGCTCGAATGAAACACTGTTTGGTGTGAGCTCTTTAGAGTTACCAGGAGTCAGCTCCAGCCTCAGTGACTCACCAGCAGACACGAGTTCTTTGGGCTGACAGCAGCAGGCAGAGGGGCAGGAGATGGGGAGCTCCACACCACTGCATTTCTGCTTTGTATGGAGAAGTAAGAGAAAGCTGCAGAGGAGGGTTTTTGCTCACACCGTGGGTTGTTCCTGTCCTCAGCGTAGTTGGGGGGTTTGTGCTGCTGCCCACACGAGGAGAGGAAGGTGCAGCCTGCAGCAGCCTCAGCCTGCAGCAGCCTCAGCCTGCAGCAGCCTCTGCTGGAGCCCTCATGCTGTCGCTGTGCCAAGTGTGGAGGGTGTTCTTTGTTCCCATTAATGCCACTGACAATCACTTTCCTGTATGGAATTGTGGAGATGTCACAGTAACAGGATTTTGTTCTAACTTTTGTATTCACTGTCAGACATCCTAATTCTTGCTGCTGATTGTACTTGTAGCCTCTTGCCTAAAACCACCCGTCCTGCTCCTCATTTCTGTGCTGTACCTGCCGTGGGTGTGAGGGTGTCAAACACTCCTCAAACAGTCACACTGTGACAGCTATGGAGCTGCTGCTGCAGGGCTGATTAACCCACAGCAGGGGCAGCAGAAAAAGGAACAGTTGTTTGGGAGCACATCTGCACTAACACAGCTCTTGGCTTTTGGGGCTTTGAGTGCCAGTGCCCGAAGCTCAGGGACAGCTCCCACAGCAGGTTTGGGGTGTTGTTGTCATGTCAGTGCCACATTTACACTAAAGCAGTTCATTTCTGAAGTTTGTTAGATGTGAGACTTTGAGCAAAACATAATAGTTACCTTGTCCTGCAGAGACCATCTGAAGCTCTCAGGTGTGAGTATGTAAGTTGTGCTCTCAGAAAGGGCACAAACCTCAGCCTGTCCCCCACAAGCCTCTTCCTGCCACCACTGGGGCTGAACTTGGGCAACAGCAGTTCTTGTGAGGAGTCCCAGTCTCACCTGCTCTGTGCCTGTTTCCTGTTAACACCCACCGTAGAAAACTGTTTCTTTACTTGTTAAAAGTTAATTTGATGGTTGGATTCGATGACCTTAAAGGTCTTTTCCAACCTTAACGATTCTGTGAGTCTGTGAATTGTTTTTATGGACAGTTTGAATCATTTACAGTTGGTGTCTGCACTTGACACTCAGCTGTTCAGGGGAACCTCTGCATGGGTTCTGTTCCTGCTGAGTGCAGCATGAGCCAGCTGAGCCCTTCACTCTCCTGGCAGTGAGACAGAGTCCTCCCAACTCTCATTTGTACCTTACGTGCTTTTACTGAGCTTGTTTGTGAGCCAAGATTCAGTGTAGAGGGGAAGGGTGGGTACCTGAATACACACGAATCTTCCCTGATAGCAAGAAGCAGCCTCTGCCACTGCAGCAGAATCCTGTGGGTTCAGAAATGAACCTTCCTCTCCCTGCTGTGCCCCTGTTCCACAGCAGCCATTGATTTTTGGCTGGAAGAAGCCTGTAGGTTTGGCAGTGCGGCCCTTCCTCCTGGAGAATGCAAAAGCAAGACTGGAGCCAAACTCACTGGCTCAGTGTTCTCACAGCACTCTGGTGCCTTCACCTCCTTGCCTCTTCCTCCTTCCCTCACTTAACCAAACGTTTTCTTTTCATCAGACACACAAGATCTCTTGCTCTTCCTCTCCCTTTCCCCTCCACTGGCCCCAAGGGCTGCAGGGAGGAGGGAGGGAGCGGCTCTCAGCCCTGCCCTGCCCCAGACACGGTTTGATTCTTTCTCAGCACACCCAGGCGGGGCTGGACCCTGCAGGGGACTCGCCTCGTCCGGGCCGTTGTCTCCAGGGCAGGCGGGTCCCCCCGGCCCTGGGGGCTCCCCCGGGACTGAGCGCGGGCCTCGTGTTTCCGCAGGGATCGACAAGGAGAACGTGGAGCTCTCGCCCACCGCCGGCCACGCCAACAGCGGGAGGATGCGCCACGGCTCCGCCAGCCAAGTGCAGAAGCAGCGAAGCGCCGGCAGCTTCAAGCGTCACAGCATCAAAAAGATCGTGTGATTGTTGCTTTTTAATTTTATTTTCTATCTCTGGACCTGACTGACGTGCGGCCCCTCGCCGAGGGCCCCGCGCCGGGTGTGATGCTGCACTTGATTTGTACAGTTCCCATCCCGTCGGCTGCGTCGCCAGATGATCAACTCCTGACCCATTGCCTGAGTTAACGCCTTCATCCCTCCCTTCTGTTTGGTTTAAGTGTTCCAGAACCGCGTGAGGATCCCGAGGGACGGCGGAGCCGGGGGAGGTCTGGAGTCCTGTGACGCTGCAGAGCCGCGTCTTGTCCAAATCCAAAGCCATTTCCCGAAACAGCCCCGCTGTGCACCTGCTCTGGCCTGGGGTGTTCCTGCTCTAAAGGGAAGTGTTGATCCTTAACCCTGTTTGCACACCTCAAGGTAGTGGCTTCCTGAGCCGGGGAAGTTTCTCTAATCCTGGTTTTAATCCAAACGTGTAAGATTTTAGCTGTGGACTTTTTTTTACCATACTGAAAAGAAACTCACGATAGCCACAGTACAATGAGCTTAACAGAAGTGGTGGATTAGGTTAAATTTCAGGTAATTAGCAATAAATGGGAGAGGAAGAGGAGGCTGCAGGAGTCCCTCATTCCCCAGATTAAGCTTCACGCACTTGGACTGTACATGGACCAGACTGGACAAACTGGCTTTTTTCCCCAAGCCTTTTTTTTTTTCTTTTTTTTCTGTACTTTACTGCCCTGGGGAAGGTGGTACAGGGGGAAATCCCCAGAACTGACCCTCGGGCTGTTGTTGTAGCACTGCGGGAAGTTTCTCACCTCCTCCTTCCATTTGACACATTTCAGCGCTTTAGTTCTGCCCTTCCCGACAGAGCTCCTGGCAGAGCAGCCAGTGGGGAATGGAGGGGCAGCGGGGTGGATTCACTCCTGGCTCTGGGGGATGGTGTGTGGCAAAGCTGCCCCTGTGCTGCCCAGGCAGGGACAGGAACAGCCACCTCTGCTCAAGGTACATGAATTTCAATTAACTGACACTGGGTCGGTTCCGTGGCAGGGCCGGGGCTGCCCCTCTGCCCACGGGACCCCCCGGGGGGGGTTCGGGGTCCTGCAGGGGTTCCAAGAACTGAAGGTGCTGTCACTGGTCACTGCCAGGGCTCGAGTGACAGCGCTGGGGACCTGCTTCTGTGCTGGGGAGGGAGGAGGCAGGAGCTGGGGCAGGGGCTGTGTCCTTGGGGGCTCACACAGCTCCTGCTCAGGAGCAATTCTGCTTCCCAGTTGCAGATCCCTGTGCTGTGGTAGGAATCAACAATCTTTAAAGGAAAAGAAACTATCCACTAGGTAAAAGCCAATCCTCCAGTGCAATCATTAATGGCTTTCAGTAAATCAAACTCCACAGCTAAATTATTAGAGAATGGTACAATTAAGGGTTCCGATTTTATTGCTATAGCACACAATTCCCATGTATCCACACAGTAACAATGTAACATTTATGTAAATAAAAATACCTTTATTGTATTGATTCATAAAATAACAATTTCTTTAATTTGTTTACAGTCCTGGAAAAGCTATGAACACAAACTTCATATGCAAATAGTTTGCCAAAACAAGAGGAAAATTTAGGATTAGCAGTCTTGGAATAAATACATTAGAAAAATGAAGTGGTGCAATTAACCCAATCCCTTCTCGGGTGGTGCAGGTGCTGCGGCAGGAACGTGGTCACTGGGGACACGGAGCGGGGTGTGAGCGGGGCCTGAGGCTGAGCCTTGGGGTCCCCAGGTTAGAAACTGTTGTCATCTCACACCTCAGATTGTGAGGAACCAGCCCTGGTGTCGCTGTGGTTTGCACGGGGTTGTACCCAATCGAGCAGGTTCCAGCCCTTCCCATTTTGCTGAAGACAAGGAATTGTAGAAGCCTGAGGATTTGTAGGTAGGAGGAAAACAAGAATCTCTTATAAAGGTGATTTGCTGTTTTCAGTTGTTTCTCCTATGAGCAGGTTTCCTGTAAAGAGGAATAGGAATTCCAGAGGAACTGCCCAACCAGTTTTGCTTGGGCAGAGAGGAAGCCCTTCACTGTTCTGCATTACCCACATCAAAAGTGTCCCTCCTTCAGAACTGCTGCGTTCTCTGCAGCACAGAGGATGTGAGAGCAGAGGGGACGGTGATGAAAATCACCTTCCCTGGGGAACTACTCCAGGCTCTCAGTCCCAGCTAAAAATCTGGTCTCTTCACAAAGTCAGAGAACAAAATTTAATTTCCTCTTTCCTGGAAGGAGAGAGTTGGTTGGAGGTTCCCCTGTGTGAGGGGTTCAGTGAGAGGGCCTGGACTCTGGCCGAGCAGGGGTGTCAGGTAGTGGGGGTGGAATTGGGGTGTGAGGACAGCTGATGGCCAAGGTTTAATTTGCATCCTGTGTGCCCCAATATGCAGCAACGTTGTCTTGTACTGGTTGCTGGGAAGCTCGTGCTTGGCTCACAGGGAAGCACAGCCTTTGTGTAATGATTAAACTCCAATCAGTAATTAGTTGTCGAGTGCCTTACTGTCTCTCCATCGCTCTCCTGCTCCCCCCAGCAGCCACTGCTGGGACTTTACCTCTTTTTCTTTCTCACATCCTCCTTCCTTTGTTCTTTCCCTGTTTGAGCACTCTCCCTCCTGCCCCGTTCCAGCCCGGGCTGCTCGGGCTGTGCCGCCGGTGCCCAGCAGTTGCTGGTGCCACTGTGGGTCTGAGCCCTGTCCCGGCGTCCCCAGTGCCGGCCGCGCTCCGGGCAGCCCGCGGGCACCGGCACTGGCTGCAGCTCCAGTCCCTGCTGCAGGGCTGGAGCTGCAGCCCCGGAGTCCCTGTGCTTTGACATGAAAACTTGAGATTCAGAAAAATCCCAACAGGAACACGTGGACCATGTAACACCCTCGCGGGGACCGTGTGTGACACCCCTGGCTCAGAGCCTGTTCCCTGCCCCACACTGACCACAGCTCAGTACTGTAAAGACAATTAACATTCTGTTTGTGTTGATATTTTCCCTGACTTAAAGATAACTCAGTAGTATTTGAATAGTGCATAACCTACCTGTAATGATGCCGATGTTTCTGCTTTACCGTGCATGAGGTTCCCCAGACAGGGAACATTTCACTAAGTCTCGTGGGCCGAGCCCCCGGCCTGTGCCAGGGCTCGCTCCGACCCGGGTTGTAGGTTTTAGGGCTTTTTCTGTTTCATTCTAAGGTTAATTTTTATCAGTGTCATGAAGCACGTCCTACTGTTATGCAACAAACCACAGACAGTCACTCGGAGTGTTGGTCCCACCTTTTTTTTTTATGCAGTATATTCACCTGTAAATAATTTTTGTGTAAAATTTGACAGAAAAGTATATTTACTACACTGTAAATACATGTGACAATATATTGTATTATTTTGCTTTTTTTGTAAAGCAGTTAGTTGCTGTATATGTATAACATATAAATTTGATTATTCTAGTGTTAGTAACTGTTAACTCCTCCTCCTCCCTGCTGGTTCTGTCATTTAAACCAGAAGCTGTGTCGGACACACTCGCCCCGTGTGTGCTCTCACTGCACCCCCAGCTCGGGGGCTTCCTCCTCCCCAGTCCTGTCCGTGCTGCCCCAGCGCTGAGTGTGTGACCTGGCGAGAGCCCCCGGCCCGGGGGAGCTCTGGGTCACAGTGGTGGAACCCTGGTTTCAGATAATTATTGTTCACCCCACTCTCCCCTCATGTATGTACTTTCCCTTTTTTTTTTGAAGTAAAATGTAAATTGAACCTGCTCCCAGTTGTTTGAAGGTCATTCCCGGGGGCTGTGGGGTGAAGGTGGTGGACATTGACATCCTTGCTCTGTTGGGACACTTAGTTTGGGTGGGTTCTTTGGGGCTGAACCGAGGGATCCAGCCCAGCCCCAGACCCAAACCCCCACTTTTTCTGGGGAAAATTAGAACCAAGTTGAAATCCAGTGTCTGGGGTTTGTCTTCCCAGACTGGTGCTGCTCTGGGTGTGGGAACTTGCACAGATCTAAGTAATGGGAAACCCAATTACCTGTGGTGACTGAGGACAGAATAAAGCCCATTGTCATGAATTTCATGTCACTTCAATAAGATTATCATAACTGAATAATAAATCAGAATATTTCTTTTTAAAATGTAAATTTAATATTGTAATAAAACAGCTGCTTGGTCTTTAAAGAACAATTCAGTATAATTTGTCTATTTGAGCTTTTCTAGCTTAGAAGCTTGAGGTTTCAGCTGTCAGGCAACTTCTATGACAAATGATTAATCACACCTATTTTTCTTTTAGGGGGATACATTACTTTCCCATTAAAAATGTATAAGTACTTATGTTCTGGCTTTGTGAATCGTAAAAGGATGTAAAGACACATTAAAGTGTGACTGCATTGACTTTTTCTGAGACATCTTATTGTTCCTGCACAGTGAGTGGACAGACAGACCTGCAGACACCTGGCCAGGTGATTCCTGCCGTGCTCCTGGTGCCAGCTGGGGCTGCACGAGCGGAAGAGCAGCAGTTTGGGAACTGTTCCATTTCAGGAGCACATTTTCTTTCCTTTAGAAGAAATTTTCATTGGTCCTGAGCTGGACCTCTGGTGGGAGCTGACTCCTGGGCAGCACCTGCTCAACCACTGCTGTGAAAAACATTCCTCAGGTTCCTCTTCTGGCCAGCCGAGCCTCCCTGCTGCTTGAGATCACAAATACACTGTAGCCACAGGGACGGAATGAAAGGAGAAAGAGTTTCATTTTAGTGATGTCTTTACGCAGTTGGAAAAACTATACTTAGGGGAGAATTGCACCCTTGGAGCAGGCAGTTCTGTCTAAGGAAATAGCTTCAGAATCCCTGCCTAGCTGCTGATAAAATATTTGACAATGGAAAATAATAATGTAAAAATGCATTGATGTGGCGATATAAATTTTGTTCTTGAGCTAAAAACTCTATAAAGAGGAAAAGAAAGGAAGTTGTTTATCACAAGCAGTAAGTCTGACCCACAATATGAGTGGCTCATTGCTAAATATTAAGCTGTCTCTCTGGCATAAATGTTTCCAAATACCTCTGACTTGGAATTACGAGCTTTCATATTTTAGATAGGCCCAAATTTATACTAAACTTGTAAATCCCTTCATAGGAGACTTCCTTAAGCACGCTGAAAAGCTGCAAAGAAACAAGCACAGACATTAAAATTAAAGCCCTTTCCTGTCCTTGCTGCATGTTCCTGTTCCAGGCTGACCCCAGGATGGCTGAAGGTGCCCCAGCACTGTCACGGGTGAGATGGGTGAAATCTGGTCCCTTAGGCCCTACCATAGGATCAGACTCTGCTGCCCTGGTCACTTCTGCCATTGTCAAAGGCTTTTGATTGTCTGTCCTCCCCTTAGGCCCCTCTGTGTGGGACAGGTGACAGCACACCTGACCCTAAACAGCTCTAAGGTGGTGAGTGTCACACCTGGTGTCACACAGCAGCCAAACCAACCTCCTGCAGTTGGGCAGTGCTACCAACAGTCCCTTGCAGAGCAGCCACGGCCTTTCCCACTACTGGAGTTAGGATTGCCAGGTGTGAATCCTTTGTGCCTTGGAACAGGGGCTCCAGTTGACTGCTCCTATGTTTAACAAGCTCTCAAATGAAAATCACTCCCAGGGTTGTGTGGGTGGAGAGTGTAGAATAACATCTCCCATGATGTGACTTGTTCAAACAAGTATGGGTTTGTTCTTCAAAAGAATCATGAAAAAGCCTCTGACGACGGCATCTTTCGGGATATTCAAATGACAGCACTATAAATAGCCAGGAGTGACTATACGCTCAAGAAAATCCCACTGAACTATTAAATCGCATTTTACTTTTTTTTCTCATAGCATACTGTCCTTCAGAGAAACTAGAAATATCTGTTCTGCTGCTTCCATCCCCAGCCAGGGACTGGGAGAGCGAGGTCTGCCCGGGAGAGCCGGGTGTGCAGAGGACACGGCACATACACTGAAGAACTGCTGCTCCAGCCCCCTCCTCCTCCTCCTCCACAGGTAAACGCAATGGCCAGGTCCAGGAGAGGTAGGTCAGGGACAGACCTGACTGGGAGCGAGTTTTCTAACAGCCAACGATGTCTGTCAGTTGGGAATTCTTAACGGACAAACTAATTAATGGCATTAAAAGGGCAAAGTCTCAGCACCGATGGATTTTTCCGCCTCGTGTGTGGCGCAATTTGTAGTCTTTAAGAGGGTATTTATTATTAATTCATGACTGCTCCAAACAAAAAGACTGAGGTGAATCAGAAATTTTTCAGAGAAAAACACTTGGACAAATCAGTGATTTAGGAAGGACAATCCCACTAAAACACAACTGTGATTTCTCCAAGTTACTCATTTACACTCTCCCGTACCAACCGCCTGCTGCAGACACGTGTAAATAAACAACTGGCAGGTTTGCCCCCAGCCAGCCTGGGCAGTTCAGTGAACCTCCCCTGTGTCCCACAGTGAGGGCGTTTCCAGCAGGTTTCTGCAGCATTACCTGGTGCAGGGCGTGCTGCCCACAGCCAGGTGAGCTCTGGAACAGCGGGGCTCTGCAGGACCAGACTTGGGCACTGGAAATGGAGGAGGCTGAGTGGGGAAAAATCTATTTAAATGAAAAGGAAGCCCAGGCTTTCAAGCTGGCAGGAGGCTTGAAGTGTTTTCCTGGACTTTTGCAGCTCCCATTGGATGCTCCCTGAGGGAGAGCACGGGCTGGGGGACACGGAGGGACCGGGATGGACCAGGGCCCTCAGCGCCGGCTCCCCGCGAGCACCGCGGGACGGAGGGACCCGCCCCGAGTCGCGGCCACAGGAACGATCCCAGCCTCGGGAACGGTCCCAGCCCCGGGAACGATCCCAGCCCCGGGAACGGTCCCAGCCCCGGGAACGATCCCAGCCTCGGGACCGGTCCCGCTCCAGACGCCGCTCCCGGCCCGGCGCCGCTCCCTCAGGGCCGGGCGGGGCCGCGCGCGCGCGGGCGGCTCTCGCGGGACGCGGCGCTCTCGCGAGAGGGGCGGGGCGGGGCGGGGCGGCGGCGCTGCATGTCCGAGCCGGCGGCCCGGCCGGGCGGCACGTGGGGCAGGGCCAGCGCCGGGACCGCCGCGACACCGCACCGGGACCGCCCGAGCGCCGCACCGGCCGCCCGTGAGTACCGCCGCGGCACCCCCCGCCCGCCTGTCAGTGCCGCGCCGCGCGTCCGGCGGGGCTCCGGGGCCTCGCGGGGGAGCGGCCGCGCCGCGCTCCCCCCGCCGGTGCTGTCCTGTCCGTGCTCCCCGCGGGCACCGCGGCGGGAGCGGCCCCGCACGGCCCAAGGTCAGCGCCGCGGCCCTGCGCGGTGCTCGGCGGGGCCGTGGGCCGGGCGGGTCGTGCCGCGGGCTCTGCCGGTGCCGCCGCTCGGGGCCCGGCGGTCCCGGGGCTGTGCGGGGCAGGGTGCGGGGGGCGAGCGGCACTGCCGAGCCGGTCGGTGGTTTATGTGTTTCACCCCCGCGGCTCCCCCGGCCCGGCCCCTCCGTGGCTGCCCTGCAAGGCCGGAGCTGGCTCGGGCGGTGCACGTTGAAGCGCCCTGTGTTGTCTGCCGCGTGTCTGGTCCGGCGAGCCTCGCCTGTGTTATGGTAATGGGCATGAAAACTGTCATTAGCAAACTTCTAATGCATTGCAGTGACTCCTTTTGTTTGTAAGCCAGAGTGGAACACAGTCAGGAGCAAAGGAATTAAATTGTGTTGCTACTGAGGAAGTGATGTTTGGAGAGCCTTGCTTTCCTGGGAGAATCCTTGTTGTTTGACTTGTTTTGTTCTTTTATTTTTCCTTCTTTTTCTTCCTTGAAGCAGGTGAAATCTAAGTTACTCCTGTTCCAGAACTGGGCAACCTGCTCTGTGCTTGGCCACGTTCTTTATTGTAGTAATCCATAAAGCAGCAATCACAGAACAGACAGGCATCCTCTTCATGGGATTTATCCAGAACAGCAGGAAACGGCACCAAAAGCTGCATCTGACCACAGTCTGTGTAGGAAATAAGTCAGGGGCTGTGGAATGGCAGAGATGGGGCCTTTCTGTGTTCCCAGGGCTGCACCTGCCGAGCGTTATCGGCCCCTGGACTTTGGCTCAGGTGGAAGGGAAGGTGGTTGCTGGGGAAGGTGTTGCACTGGTGTAACTCTGCTTTCCTCCCGTTGGCGTTGTGGCTGTGAATGATCTACCAGCACAGCCCTGGGGGAGCACGTGGGGTGTGGGAGAGCAGCCCAGCTCCCGAGGGGCCACGGCCCTTCCCTGGGAGCACTTGGACCAGAGCTGAGGGAGCAGCTGGGCCGAGCTCCCTCCTCGGCCAGGGTCACTGTGTGACCCCGTTCAGGTCACTCAGCCTCCTCGGTCTTTAATGAGCTGCTTGTCTAAAGGGTGAAGGACTGTTCAGGCATCTGCTGAGCTACCCTGCCTGTCCTCCAGTAGTGCCCCTGGAGCTGTGATTCTGGAAAGGGGCAGCACAGCTCCAGTACGTGCATGTCATTCTCAGCTCACTGGTTTGCTTGCACGTGCTGCACAGTGTGCTGGAGGGAAGTTAAAAGGGGTGAGAATCGTGTAGAGCTTGAGCTGTGCTTGAGGTGTGATAGAATCCACCTTCTTACTGCCACATTCACTGTCCTGGTCCCGCTCACCTGACAGTCCCCCAGCTTCTACTTCAGTGTTTTATTGAGCTCTTGAAGGACTTCTGAGAGCTCTCGTGGGGTTTATGAAGGTCAGTCTTTCACCAGTGTCTTCTACAACAGGCTGTTTGCTCTCAGACACGAAAAGTGATATTAGGGTGGAGGGTCTGTGTGGATGGCACTGCAGGAACCCAGTTCTTATGTGTGTTAGTAGCTGTTTCTTACTCAGGAGTGCTCTCCTTATTCACACTGGGTTTAGAAACCTGTCTAGGAACCATATTCCTTTTTAGAGATCTCTAGACATGCTTTGAGAATACTAATACTGATAATCATCAGCTGCCTAGAAAGCCTTGGCTTTAACCTAGACATTTCACAGTGCCTGAAGTGAGACAACAGGAATTGCCCTCGCTGCCCAGGGTGGGAGCTGAGGGTACCTGCAGCTCAGACCCACCATGGTATGTCAGTCCCCAGCTCCTGCAGATTCCCTGGGGAGTTAACTGTGACAGGAATTTGCTGGAGGATTGCAGCCAAAGCTCTCCGAGCCAGCAACAGTTAATTTATGATGTTGAGACTCTTGTGTTCATTTTGAAAACATCGCAGGCTGGCTGTGGGGGGATTGAAGAGCAAGTGCACTTCTGCAGTAGCAGTTATCTGAAGAGCATAATGCTTTAAAAGCAACATACCCCACTTATCTGTGCTTCTCACCGTTCGTGTGCACTTAACTGATGTGAAAAAATGATTTAAGGTATTTCTAGTGTCCAAGGAGACTGTAATAGGATCAAGGCTGATATCCCAGTTGCCCTTAGCAACATCTAGAACTAATAAAAAACATTAAGTACAGCATTAATTACTTATAATTGTTTCATGTTTTAGATCTAATGATTAGCCTTTTTAAAATCCTGATTTCTAACTGCAGTGCTTCTGTGGAGCTCTTAATGCAAATAGCTGGTTAGACTTCATGAAGTGATGATTAACTTCAGGCAGCCATGCTCAGATACTCTGAAAAAGCTATTTTATTCAGCAGGTGTTTAATATTTCCTGGAAATTAAAGCTTCTGCATTTGTTTCTTGTGGGGATTGCTAGAAGGGGACATATTTGCATGTCCCTCACTGCTTTTTCAAGCATTCTATCTTCAGCTGTTTTACTGTGGGTTTTTTGTTGTCCACTACGTGGATTCTGTTCAGCTTTGCTGTCCCTGCACTTTGTCAGCTGGAAGGTGACTCTGAATTTATGGGCCCTGTACTTTACTGTTAGCAGAGCTGAATATTTCATAGAAGATCACTTAAAATCATTCTTGAGCAAACGAATCCCTGCTGCAGACCTGCTTGCTTTTGACCTCTGCTGCCACCTGGCACTGCAGATGAGAAACCTGCCATGTGCTGGGGCTGATTTTTGACTCTGGGTATAAATAGCAGCAGTTAGCTCGTGATTTGCATGAGCCTCTGGTATTGGGGGCCTTAGCTTTGCATGGGGGTAACCCTGGCAATTGGGAACTGGAAGTGTCTGGGATAAGGATTGCAGTGCGTATCCCCTAAATCTCAGGGCTGTGATCCTGTGGTTTCCCCTTCCTTAAAGAGGAGCTTCTTTTTCTCATGAGCTTGGACTTGTATTTAGTTTTCTCGTGGAAATGCAGGGGTAGGAAGAATTCTTTGGTGTTCATGGGTGCAGGAAAGAAATTAGCACATCCCTTCCCTAAAGTATTTCAAGTTGAATGGAGTGCTTGCTGCCTGCTGGAGAAGGTGGGCTCCCCTCTCTCCAGCTGGAATCCCGTTTTTCCATTCCTTGTGTTTCCTCCAGCTCTATGTGACTGTAGGAAGGTCATTTGATCTGTGTCTTGGCTTTGCTTTTTAAAAAAGGGCTGCGGAAGCTGAGGAGAGGAGGCAGCTTGCAGTGCAGGGGAGGCTGTTGTGTGTGAGAGCTGCCCCTGGTGTGATCCGGGCGGGGGCCTGGGGACACTGCTGGGATCGGAGTGAACGTGTCTCTGTGATTAGGTCTGGAGTCACTCCTTGTAGCACTTGCTCATGCACACAAGTGATGTCCCTGCTGTTCAGTGTGAGTGCCTCCCAGTGAAACCTTTGCAGTTCCTGCCCAGCACAGACAAGCACAGGGCACCTCCCTCACTGCTGTTTGCCGTCCTCCCTCTCTGCGAAGGATACAAACTTCTTCTGCAACTTCCAAGCAAACTCCACTGTGTTTTGCTTTTCTGTCTGAGCCTGGTCCAGCTTTGTTTTGGGAAGCTGTTTGCCAAGGTCTCCTTGCTGGGAGCAGGGCACTGCTGCCCCCACATACCTGGGGACCTGTTTGGTCTTGGTGCTGCTCTCTGCTCGCTGTGTCCTGCAGCACTATCAGTGTTGTGATGTAAACCTCACTGTCCTGTCTCCTTGAAAATGCAGGTCTGTTTTTTGTCTTGTGTGCAGAGTAAATTGGAAGCCTTTAGTTAGTTTAGTCTCTGTTTTGTGGAAGCTGATAAAGATGCCAGGTGTTTGACTTGGATGGTTACTTTGAAGTTTTGATTTATAAGCTGTACCTGGAGTGGCCACTACACTTATGTTGCCCAGAGCAAGGGCTGCATTGGCTTCTTTGGTGTAGAAGCAAACACAAAATGCTAAGTATTGAATGTATTTTTTTCTGAAATTCTGGAAAATAATTTGTTATGTTCTCCAACCTGTGTGACAATGCAAAGAAGGAAAGATGATGAAATTTTTCCCGAGCCCAGATTTTTGTAATGTGTTGGTTATAAAGGTAATAACAACTGCTTTGCCTGGACTGTGGGGGTAGTGGTGAAGTGGTACAGAAGCCATTTCTGAAGTTTGCTGAAGTACCTGAGAGACCCTCCTGGGAAAATGGGGAAAAAGCTCTCGTGCCTCCCTCTCCAGTAGAGGATTCACAGGGACACACTACCTTGGGTGAGGAAACCATAAATAATGAAACAACTGGAGCAGGGAGGTAATAAGATAGAAAGTGCAGTAAGGAGCTTGATAATCTGATAGGGTTAATGTTAATTACAAACTGTTCATTATTGCAGAGCAGGAGGAGCACTCGGGGCCTTGGCTGACTCTGTGAGGCCGAGTGTGGTGAGGGCTGCTGGGGGTCAGAGTCTGTGTCTCTGTGAACTTCTTGGTGATTTCCAAAACAATCTATTAAAAAAGCTCCACAGGTTGGCCTACACTGATGCTTTTATTGTAAACTTCTGCTTCTGAGTGTGTAAATAAATAGGAACTGTTCTGAGTCCTGTGTTGGCCTTAATGCTGCCGGAGCCGTGTGGGGCCAGGGTTTGGCTCCTGAGTTAGGAAAACACACAGAACCATCAATGAATGTGGCAGCTCCAGCTGTGAGGGGGCAGTGAGCTCTTGCAGGAACATCACTGAGGCTGACTACACTGAAGGCAGTTTTTGTCTTGGAGATAAAAGGCAACCTGGTGGTGGTGGTGTTTCTTGCTCCAGAGCAGTAGTTTAGCTCTACATCAACCAGCTTTTTCAGCCTTTTACTTAAGTCACAATTTATGCTTTTGCAAATAGGAGACTGCTGGTTCTTAAATGTTTTAAGGTTGTGGAGTGGCTTCATTAGTGGCCTTTCATTTGCAGAGCAGCCTGTTTCTTGAGCTCCTAGCCCATGTTCACTGGCCTGTGAAAAGGTGGTGTTGCTTAAGGGGTATCTCTTGCTGTTCTAGTCTTTCAGTGCTGGTGTTTGAAGCAGAAATTGCTGCAGAACACTTACCTTTAATTAGTTAAGTATACAGAGACTTCCCTGTTGGCTTCCTTTTAAAATAGGTGTCATGCAGTTTGAGATCTTGGAGGTCTGGCTCCTACCTGTCTCTGAGTGTTTAGCTCCTGAGTCATGTTGTGTGAGCTCCTGGCTCTGGGTGATGTTTGGTTTGGTGGTGGTACACCAGGCTGGGCAGGAGAGAGGTGGAAAGGCTGTAAAGTCTGGTGGCCAAGGGACACACTGATCTGCAGCGTGTGGTGCAAGGGCTGGCAGACTGCTGTGGCTTCACAGCTCCCTCTGTAAGGTCAGCCCTGGGGATGCTGCCCTGCATGGAGAAAGCCCCTGTGCTCTCCAGCAGGACCTGGCAGAAGGTCCCTCCGTTGTGCAAGTTCTGCCCCCTTCATCTTGTATGAAACCCGGGGAAGCTGCAGTTAGATAAGGCAGTGCCAATGCCAGTTCAACTTTCGATGAAAACATGCCTCGTGCCAGGGGGAGGTTATGTAAGGCTTTATGTCTGTTTCTGTGCAGGAGCTTTTCTTATTTTAAATCTTAACAGTAGGGCCTCCGGTTCTTTAGGTTTTTGTCAACTCCTGTTCTTATGCCTCCTATAAGGCAGAGCATGTGCTATTGGTTATTTTTAGCATGGAAAATTTTAAAAGCCCACGTGGTCCCATTTAGTTTGAACCGTGCCAGCCTGTCCAGTTCTCTTTCACCCAGATAGTATTTATTTCCCGAGCGCTGCATCGCTAACTATAGGGTTTGCTGGGAGGTGTCCTGGCCTTGCTGTTGAAGCTGCATTTCCAATTTAGCTGCCTGCTCCTTTGCTCTGTGATCTTTCAGGACGGGCTTTAATTCCAGTCTTGATTTCCACTGCTTTCAGGGTTTGGAAGCATAGCCTCTCAAGTGCTGGGGCAGAGGGAAGCGGAGGAGCCGGGACCGGCAGCGCTGAGGGGTCTCTGCAGAGAATGGGGGCTCAGTCACTTGGGAGTCATCCTGGCCTCTCTCTTGGTAGAGACTCGAAGCAGCTCGCCCTCGGAACAGACCTCCTTGGGCGTGGAAAGCCCTGAAATTGTGGAGCGAGTGCTCGCTGAACTCCTCTCGGACCCTGAGAATGAATTATCTGACTTCCCTGGGAACCTCGTGCTGCGAACATTTCTAACCTTATAAGGCTGCGTGTGCTGAAGGGCTCTGTGTCCTGGCCAGGAAACAAGGTGGCTTAGAACTGCTCTAATGTGAACAAGTAGAGTACGTTGACTGTCCTTGGCTTTTTTTCTAAGGTAGGTAATGTGTGCGTTCTTTCTTGTCCTCATCTCCTTGCTCTTTACCAGGAGTTTTCCATAAATCAAGTCAGGACACAGATTTGGAGAGCTGACTGACCCCTACTCTCCCCTTGGTGTCTTAATCCCATCCTGACCCGCTGTGGGGATTATTTAGCAGGTTGAAGTCTCATGTGCTGGCTGCAGCTCTCCAGCCGTGCCATGATCCAAGGTGTGACATTTAGGCTGGATTCCTGGCGTGCCAGAGGGAAGTGGAAGTGGCTGGTGGTGGGGTGAGTGCATACAGTGTGTGAGCTCCACTATTTTTGGTGCAGGACTGATGGGGCCGTGCTTGTTGGGAATAGTACTGGGGATCCAATGCTTCCTGTTGATTCTGCCTCCTACAAAGCTGCTCATCTCCTGTCCAAAGCTGGGAAGCTGCTGTGCTTCCCAGCTGGCTCCTCCTGCTCAGAGAGTGCAGGGCCTGCTGGGCCAGACTCCCTCCCACTTGGCAGTGCTTGAGGGCATGTGATTTGACAAGTTGCCATTTTCTGTTCTGCTGCTGGCAGGAAAATCCCAGCCTTTCTTCCCCCCATGTGTTCCAATGATCTCGTTGCCCCTGCAGCCCTGAACTGGCTGTCAGATTGGCAGCAGAGAGATGGCTTGGTTGCTCCTGAATGAGTTGGGAAGTGGCTGTGGGGCTCTGGGAGCTCTCCTGGGGAGCAGGCGAAGGAGAAGCCGTGTCCTGGCTGGAGGGCTGGGCAGGTTCAGTCAGCCATCCTCAGGCATCGTGACCAGCATGGCAAGAGCCAGCTACTGGAGTCCTCTGGCACGTCTGTGCAAGGAGATGTTTGTTGGTGTCAGCTGTTCCCCAGCCAACCCAGCACTCCAGGATGTCTGCTGGCACCTCACACAGGGCACTGCCTTTCATCCTGCTCTAGCTGATGGGAGGATGTGGAATTCTCATTTAACACCATTGCTGGTAGTGATGCAGCTCTGGCTAAAATAGTAAATTAAAAACGTGGAATTAAACGAGCGTCGCGAGGAGCCGTCAGCTAATGCAACAGTCCCCACTCATCCAGATATCACAGAGGAGTGAAGATCTTTATCCTAAATGATAATGTTCAAAATGACTCTTAGAACTGTTTTGTCTGCCAGACTTTGGGACAGACCTGTCCCTCTGTGGGGCATCCTGTGACTGTCTCCCTGTGCTGCAGAGCTGTGTGGGACTATTGTTTGAACAGTTGGTGCAACTTAGTAGGGAATCAGATAATAATAGGGCTGTCTGTTTAATCGGGAATGCTTGCTGGGAATGGACTTATGTGAGCTACTTTAATTTGGGTTTGTGGTGTGCCTGTGAGACAGCTTGTAGGGCAGTTCTGCATTAATTACAACAACTTGAGCGTGCAGCAGATGAGCCCTTGTGGTGGCTCACAATGTGCCATTGTGCTGGGCAGCGTGAACGGGGACCTTTTGTCTCGGGGATGTACAGGCTTCACCCTTTCCACTTGCAAAAACCAAACATCCACACTAATACATAGGTTTGCTGGGTTTTTAATTACAAATCCCAGATGTTACCATTAACAGAAGGCTTGCCCTGAGCAGTGAGTGCTGCTCCCTGGCTGCACACAGCTGGCTGGGAACAACTGGGATTTAGTTACTTCTTAGTTATCCAGTTTATTTAATCACACATGAATGTCTGATGAACACTCGAGTTTCCTGTGTAGAACAACATAAATGCCTCATTTGTGATGTGCTGGGATATTACTGAACTCCTTAAATCATGTCTGCAGCAGACCTTTAATTTGGGATTGAACAAGCAAGTTTCTAGTCCCTCATTCGTGTGCCTCAGTGTCTGGGCTCTGCAGGAAGCAGAGTGGAGGCAAGGCAGGGTCTGAGGTAGCGTGGATGAAGCTGTGTGAGTGCTCCTGTGGGATGGAGGTGGGAAATCCGGAGTGAATATTAAATTATCTGAGCTCTGACACTCGGTTTGAGCCCGAGGGAGGTTTTGTCCCTCAGCTGGAATGTGTAATCAGCTCCTGGTGAAGATCGAGGCCCGAAGGAGCGCTGGGAGCTGAGTTGGGACACTTGCTCTGATAACAGAAGGGGTTTTTACGGTTGAGACAGACTAAGCATTGGGCCAACTGCCTTGATTGTCCTCTCTTTTCATAGAAGTATCATGCTTCTAAAGAGGAACCAGATAATGCTCTTTTCCAGTGCATAGTTCCCATTTCTAGGACTTCGCTATCTCCTGAAAACAATCTTTATTTTTGTTGCGCATTGGCAGGAGTCTCGAGGGCTGTTTGGCTTCAAGTCTGCCTATATAAGCATCCTCCAACACGTGGTGTTTTGCTTTAATTCCTGTGCAGTGAAAATATAAACTCTAGGTGCTTTGCAACAAGGCTGTTTGGGATGTGGTAACTGTTAAGCTTTACATTCCAGCTGCAGACTTTCCTTAAGGAAAAGGAAAGGTCTGGTAGCCCTGTCTCATGTGGCCCAGGTGAGGCTTGGAAGTGGAGGAGCAGGACTGGGTCAGGAGTCTCCATGGTGTCCAGGTGGGAAAGGAGTTGCAGACTTTCTAGAGGAAAAGGGACAACTGTTGGCCATGGGGAGTCAGGGCAGTGAATTTGGAGAACAAACTTTGGAACTGGGTTCCTAAGGTTTCAGAGGAGTGTGTGTTGTCAGACTCTGGAACTCTGGGGAATGGGATGCTGCCTTTCAAGGGGAGAGCTGGGCAACCCTGCCATGTGTCAGGCCTGTGTCATGGAATGCTGTGGTACAGCTGGGCTGTGAGCCCAGCCCAATGCTGGAGAAACCTGCTGTGCTGGGGGCAGGACTGACCTGCAGGGGAGAGGCAGGAGAAACAAGGGGAAATTAAGTGTAAAGGTGAGATGAGGTGAAATCATGGAGTATAATGGTGAGAAATGTCCAGATATCCCTAGTCTTGGGTCGGGATCTTGTTCTGTGACCTGCTGCCAGAGCAGAGACGGGAATTTTGAGAGTGGCTGGAAAACAAACCTGTTCATGCTAATGGCAACACCTCAAGGCACTTCGGAGACTTCAGCCTTCCTGTTGCCTTCCCTGTGACTATTTTAACATGCTTTCTTTCTCCTTCTAGGTGTAGTTGCTGAAGCTCTGTAAGATGGCTTTGCGCTTCCGCAATTTTGTCCCGTACGCCATTCCCGGAGTGCTGGCGCTTCTCGGCTGCTGGTGGATATATTCCTGGAGGAAAAAGTACGCGAGCTATCGCGATAAACAAGCAATAGCCATTGGAAGGGAAAAGAAGGAAGAAGTGTCAGAGAGCGGTTCAGCCCCCAAACCAGAAGCGTGTGTTCCTCGCAGGCGGCCTCACTCGGCGCCGGAGGAATGCCCGGAGAACAGACCCCCGACCCCCCTGCTGACCCCCCTGCTGCCCGCGGGCCCGACGACGCCCTCTCCTCTGTGCCAAACTCATGAGAGGCCGGATCTCTCACAGGACCTTCCAGACCTGTCGGGAACGACAGTTCAGCCCAGCACCCACGAGGACGACAGTGAAAAACTAGAAAGGATAGGATCCCAAGAGGAAAGCGGTGCCCCTGCTCGTGCTCCCCTCCCTCGGGTCCCGGAGAGTGCGGAGCTGAGCCAGGCACAGGGGTCAAGCCCCAGTGCAGACCGGGATCAGCAGCCATCAGCACCCCTGGCACAAGAGTCTTTGGGAGCCAAGGTGGAGATCAGCAGTGCAGAGCAGTCAGATGAGTCTGCGTTTAAGCCCCCTGAGGAAAAGCAGATGCCAGAAATTGTGCAGTCGGATACTGGCTCTGTGACAGCCCATTGCTTTGGATTGGAGAAAGAAACCAATGCCCCACAAGCCTTTGTCAGTAAGGAAGCTGAAGTTGTCTCAAGTCACGAGGATTCTGCAGTGAAGATGTTACCAGGGAGTTTGGAGCCTGCCTGTTTGAAGCAGTCCAGGGACGAGGAGATGCCCGAGTCCATTGCCAGTGTGCCAGTGGGTCGTGAGGACACGCAGCCAAAAGGAGATGAGTTGGAAAGAGAGAAGATTGGAGGAGTGAGTTTGGACAAGGAAGTTGAGAAAATTGAGCAAGTAGCAATACAGTTCATTTCCAAGGTTATTTTGGCAGCAACTGAGGAAGTGCTGTCAGGTTCTGCAGGCGAGGCGTCCCCTCGGACGTGCCAGGCCACTGCTGGCCGGGCTGAGGCAGCTCTGGGGGCCGGGAGTGGTGCTGCTTTGGGGGCAGGGAGTGGTGCTGCCCTGGGCTGGGGGCTCGCGGAGGGAGCGGCAGCCGACAGGACCCCACTGCCCACACCCCCAGAGGAGCAGGGCCAGGGTGCCACAGGCTCCAGCTGTCCTGCACACGGCTGTGCAGCCAGCCCTGGCCAGGGAGACACAGGAGACTGTGGGGTGAAGAGCTGTGAGGGCAGGGAGTCCCAGGGAGTTGATCGGACTCGTGTGGAAAACCACAGAGGGCCACTGAAAAAGTCATCTTTGGCCCTGGAGGACTCTGGGTACAGCACACACACATCTGAAGGTGGGACGAGTGTAGAGGACCTGCTGCAGAACACGGTGCTGTCTGTCACGTCAGACCAGCTGTCGGACTCACTGAGCACTTCTGCAGCCCAAGACACATCTGCTGAGCAGAGCTTGGTGCCAAGGGAAAGCCCTCCTGCTCTGGGGCTGCCTGGAGACAGCTCAGTGCCATACAGCAATGGGATCCTGAAGGAGGATGGGCCAGACTCGAGCCAGGAGTGTAGTAGTGCGGCAGGGATGGATGGAGATCACTCAGAAGGTAAGGGGTTTGAAAATCCTCCTACAAAACACACGTGAGCAAGCACTTTATGTGCTGTAACCCCTCTGCTTTGGAGCACCTTCAGATAAATCCTCTTCATGTTTAACTTAGACCATAGATGAATGCTGAGCCCTCATGTGCAGGTGTTTGCTCTCCTGATTCCCACGTCTGTAGGGTCCAGTGTTAGCTGGGTGATCTTCAGGGGACACTGCAGGGGGGTGAGCAGGCTGGGCCCCTCTCAGCACAATACTTACTGTCTGAGGCTGAACCTGTGCTGGGGTAGCCCGGTGAAATGGAGCGTATGTGGGTGTGGGCCAGGCTGGGAGCACCTTGCTGCTGTGAGACCTGCTCAAACAAATGGTTCTACTTCAGCTTGGGTGGCCTCTGGTAAGCCCTGGGTGCTTACCTGTGTTTATGGGCTGCTGCTGCTGACAGGAAGCTGTGAGGCAGGTTCTGAGGTGCTGCTGGATGAACCAGGGCAGAGCTCTGATGAATTGTGATAAAATCATCTGGTTGCAGAGCAGTTACCCTGAAGCCTTTTTGCTCAGAAGGGTAGGTGCATGCCAAGAAATCCCAACAGGGGGCAATGTTCATGGAGTTCTCCCATCTGTCTGTGTGGCTTTTGCCTTGTAGATCCTGGATGGTGTGTGCCTGGCAGAGTACTTGCAAAGCTGTCTGAGCAAACGTTAACCTGTGTGACCTTGGGGATGGATGTTAAAATCCTTTGTAGAACCCTGTGGTGCCAACAGCCCTTAATGACAGGGGATGTTTCTGGTAATTGCTACAAAGCAGTTGGAATGCTGCTCATTTCAAGACATGGGGATTGAGTTTGCCAACAATTAAAGATTGAACCCACAGAACATTTTCACTAGTGAGAGTTACTCCAGGAAGAGAATGGTGCTGCCTCCTTGTGAATGCAGGTGTGACAGGAAGGTCCTAGAGTGAGTTGTGGAGCCTGGTGATGGCAGGGGCTGAAAGCTCTGCATTGAGACACTGAAGGGTGGGGAGAGGGGATAGAGCAGGTAAAACTGATAAGGTGACAGTGTTGGATAACAGGTCATCCAGCTGACCTTCACACCCAGGCTGTGAGACTGAAATCCTCCCCCCTGCTCAGGATGTCAATGGCCAACAACTACACCCTTTGCCTTTCTTAGCCTTGCTGCTGTGTTACCCTTTAAGATGTGGCAAATGTGAAAGCAGCTGCTGGGTTTATTTTTCTCTTTGGTCTCTAACTGGATGGTCTGAATACTTGCAAACAGGTGAGGATCTTCATGCTTCTGCTTCAAGCTCGTGTGACACTTGACTGTATCTGGGATCTGACCAGGAGGAGGCTGTTTGAGTTTGACCCTTTCCCAACTAGAAGTGTTCCTGCTATTGGCTGGTGGTTTAGGAACAAAATAGTTCAGCTCTTGCACCTTGTTTCTTCAAGCATATGATGAATTTGGGCCCCCTAGTAGTGGGCAGTCCTGGCACTGGGGTTGCTGTGCAGCCCCTGCCGTGGGGGTGGCAGTGGCAGTGTCAGTGTGTGGCAGCCAGGCTGTCTGAGTGCTGACACGTGTGCCTGCCTTGTAGGTTCGGATGCAAACAGCGTGGATTTCGTGGACAGTGGCTGTGCCATGAGGAAGACAGTGGCTCGCCAGAATGCCAAGCTGGAAGGAGGATCCAGCAAGCCTGACTTCGTTATCTGGGAGATCGAGGTCCCAAAGGTAACCGGCTGCTGGCCTGCTCGTGCATTCTGCCCTGCCCTGCCCTGCCCAGCCACCTCCTGGTGCTCCCTCTCTGGTACTGGCTTGGTGCCATCCCAGGGAGATCAGCAGCAAATGCAGGAGGACTGAAGCATTTAACTCCCCTTGGGAGTGAGGAGCCAGTACACAACTGTAAAGGTGCAGCATTCCAGGGCTATCCCCAGGGGAATGGTGGTGGTTGACTCGTTATTTCCCATCATCTTCCACCCAGTCCATGAGTCCATGCTCTGAAAGCATTCAGGAGGCTTGGAGGGTACACAGGTATTAAAAATAGGGAATCTATCCAAATGGTACTGGTCTGTATCTGCCTGGATTCAGACCGGCTGAACTCTGCACTGGTCCGGCACTGCCTTGTATTTATCCTGCCTAGGCTACAGGAATTGGGAATGTTGTGATACAAGCCAGAGAGAACAGTGATGTTTGATCTACATTTCTCTTCCTGATTGTTGCTTTCTTGTCCCTTTCCCAAAGGAATTAGTTGGCCGTTTGATTGGCAAACAAGGGAGATTTATGAGCTACTTGAGGCAAATGTCCGGTGCCAAAATTTACGTCTCAACACTACCTTACTTCCGTGACTCCCAAGTCTGTCACATCGAAGGTCAGTGCAGTGTGGGTTTCTTCATGGTCTAATGTGTAGCTTGGGGGCTTTGATTAAATGGGTAAGGAATTTGAGTGGGTTTAGTGGCTTTGTGAGTCTAGTGCTTTACAAAACTTCTCTGCTCGGTGCTGTTGCAGCAGGAGTATGTGCCAGGTCACCTGTGCTGTGACACACGAACCCTCAATCCTAGAGCTGGGAATGCATTTTAGCATCTTTGGCTGCTGCAGTTTAACTGACCCCTCTTGCAGGATCCCTTTAGGCTTGCAGGAGGAGCTGTGGGATGGGCATCAGCAAATGCAGCCTGCACTGGGAAGGTGTTAGATTAATTGTGCCTGAAAAATATCTGCCAGTGAATTGGATTTATCCTGGAGGCTAAAGCTGTTGGAACTGAGACCTGGCAGTCCGAGTTGCACATGCTGGTCTGGTACCAGGTTTCACGACCAGTCTGTTAAAATTTACACTGTTGATGTAGCACAAGAGGCTCCTGGTAGTTGTGTTTTTTCATATGACAGGGCTGGGGGTGTCCTCAGCATGTCCTTGCTACAGACTTTGTGTGGGGTTTTCGCCTTCCAGGGACCTCGCATCAAGTAGAAAAAGCCCTGAGCCTGATTGGCAAGAAGTTCAAAGAGCTGTGT